AGGAGCTGAAAATAATGTTACTAATTATCTTTTACTGAAAAATTCATATCCATCTTCAACAACCTATAAAATAATATTTTTATGAAATTCTACTTGATGTGCTCTACATATCAAATCTAATTCATGCTTTTTTAAAAAGACCTGTACTATCTCTTGACTAAATACATATGAAACTCCTCTTTCATTATCAGCCCATCCTTATACATCTTTATCAGGATCAGACCATAATAAATCACAAAGTAATCCAGTATCTGGAACATCTGTTGGTCTCATTATTCTTCTTATTTATTCCAAATTCGATAATTCAGGTGATAATCCACCATGCATACACAAAATCTTTTCATCAATTAATGCAGCTACAGGTAGACAATTAAAACAATCAGTAAAGGTCTTCCATAATTTTATAGTATATCTTCTCTTGCCTATATTTACAATTGATCTATTTACATTCATCATAAAATCCATAAATTCTGTTAATGGATGCACATTCATGATTCCCTCTAAGCAAAAAGAAATTTTCAGGATATTTTATTTTGTATGCTAAAAGCAAACAAATAGTTTCTAATGATTATTTTCCTATTCAAATAGACCAATTTAAATACCTCTGTCAACATAATCACCAAGAAATAAATAATTACTTTCAGGAGGGTATCCTCCATATTCAAATAATCTAAGTAAATCAAAATATTAACCATGCACATCACCTATAAACTCATATTATCTTAAACTTACCACAAATTTTTAATGGAGCCTCAAGTTCCAATAAAATTGGTTAAGAAATAAAAATGTCTCTAGCTTTTATACACAACCCTCTGACTTCTGCCTCTGTTAAGTTTACATTTTTTCCTGGTTTACTTCCTCTGACACTCAAAAGTCTTTCAATGATACTATCAACATCAATTTCACCCTTATTATCCTTGCTCATATATTATAATTTAAAATTTAAATCAATATAAATATCAGATGCAATCAATTCACTAATCACAAAAGTAAACTATTATAGAGGATATGTTATGGAAATACCACTCACCTGATCTTGAAATTCAAGGCTTAGGATCAATTAATTTTGATTCTGAATTTATTTGTTACACTTTCACAGAATTTGATGAAGAAGGTCAATAAATAACACAATAAACAGAAACCTTTAGAACAGTAGTTTTATTTGAAAATTCACATTCTATTCCTCTTGCACTCTCTAGTGCTCTAAGAACTATGTTGAAAGGAGAATAGGCATTTTTTGAAGTTAGCGAAGTTTATGCTCTCACATAAAAAGAGATTGATGTCTATATAGATAATATGATACCATTGAAAATGTAGAAGAGATAATATTGGCTTATCAATATAGAGAAAACATTTGTGTATTAGGAAATAGATTCATTAAACCAATTATAAATAGAATAATACATTGATGAAGTAAGGAAGTATGCTGGAATGTTATTTCAAAAATAACATTATATTCCAGCTATCTCTATCTATTAATTGATTAGTAGAATTAAAGTAGAAGATTAATAGTAGGAGAATAAGAAAAAGTTATTAAAGGAAATAAGCAAGTCATATTCAAACAGAGCAGTTTGTCATATCAAATTAAAGGAATGGGGTATGGCAGATTAGATGTGTGATGAGGCTTTAAGTTTTGATAATGAAAATGAAAAAGGTAGGGCATCTGAAGTAAAATAGCTCTATTGATAAAAGGAAGAGCAAATTATGAATTACAAGATTACCAATCTGCTATTTAATTGTTTAAGTCACTTTTGATCCAATATCCTCATTCAGACAATAAAAAAGAAGTCCAATAGTATATATAGAATTGTTAGAAAAAAATATCAATGAATAAAGATGATATTGAATGATATTTAATTTAATTGATATAAAAATATTATTTATATTGGAATGTTCAACAAGTGATTATTTTTATGATGGTATTTTATATCATTTTAATTTATATTATGTAATTTAATTATTAAATTATGTATTTGATTTTGTCAGCATTAACTATTTGCTCTTACGCAATTGCTCCTCATGTATTGACGTAAGGACCATTTACAGAAACTAAACAGACTTTTCAATTTACATAGCTCTTAGATCACAGTGATCCAGCCAATAATCAGACATGGAAATAAAGATACCATGTGTATTCTTAATATTTTAATCCCACTAAAGGTGGAGTTATCTTATATATTTGTGGAGAATGGAATTGTTAAGGAGTAGGTGATAACTCATTCTCCTTTTAATTGGCTAAGGATTTAGGTGCAATTGTTATAGCATTAGAACACAGATTCTATGGACAATCTCAACCATTTGGAGAAGATTCATGGAGTTTAGAGAACTTATCTTATTTAAATGTTCATCAAGCTTTAGATGATCTAGCCTATTTTATATTGTAAATGAAGAGACTTCAACTACATAACATTGATTCTACATTGCCTTGGTATATATGATATCTTAATATATAGGTATGCAATTGGAGGTTCATATCCAGGGGCTTTATCAGCTTGGTTTAGATACAAATATCCTCATTTGACAGTTGGTAATTTGGCTAGTAGTGGAGTCATCAACACAATTCTTGACTTTTGGTAATTTGATGATCAAATTAGAAAGAGTACAAGTAAGAGTGGTGAATAGTATATATATCTGAATTAACACTTCTAGATGTCCTCTATATTTATAATTGTTGAATAGTTATGTAGATAAGAATTTGAAGAACTTTAACACCAAATAAGCATTTAAAGAATCATATAGATGTGGAAAGATGACAGATAATGAATTCAGATGGTTCTGGGCTGACACCATTGTTTAAATGATATAATCAGGATAGAGAACAAAATTCTGTCAAACTCTAGAATCCTTACCATCTGTTGAGAGAATGGCTGAATACATTAGAGAAATAGCACTATCTTAAGGAGATAGTTATAAACAATATGGTGCATATTATTTAAGAAACGAGACAATTGATGAGAACTCTCAAAATCGTTAATGGTATTTCTAATGCTGCACTGAAGTCGCTTATTTATAAACACCTCCATAAGTATAAATAATAATTATGATAGAATAAAAATTCTTTAAGATCTTATGAATTAACATTGGATTGGTGGAGAGAATGGTGTAATGATGCTTATTCTTAAGGAGAATTAATTTGGCCAGATGTAAGAGTAACTGAAGCTTATTTTGGAGGATTAAACTTGAATGTTGATCATTTAATTATGACTAATGGAGGTGAAGATCCTTGGCAAAGAGCATCATTGACTAATAGCACTAAAACTAATAGCAAAGTTATAACATATTTAATTGATTGTGATGATTGTGCTCATTGTGTTGATTTGGGAGCTCCAAGTGTTAATGATCCAGCTATTCTCACATAAACTAGATAAACTATAAAGAACACATTTAAATAATGGCATGATTAATTTTGGAACAAAACTCTGATTCAGTGAATAATAAATATTAAAGAAATATATATATAATCAGTTATTATGGTTTTCATACCATTCACAAAATTTTATCAATTAATTGGCATTCATTTATTCTGCATAAAGCTTAATTTTAGCCAGATTAGTGTTATCTATTAACAAAGACAATTATTTCTCACATAATGACTTTAAATCTGGTATGAGGTAATAATCAGCCATTTGTAATAATTATCTATAGTATTCAATAGATTATTAAAATTAATCACATTATAACTAAAATAGAAATTACACTTACATCTCCTGTGTAAATGAAGTATAACAACTATTCAAAAATAAAGGAAGAACAATCATTTATATAAACTTTTTATTATTGATTTTTGTATTCCCATTCAAACATCTTATTGAACATTTCATATCGAGATAATATTATTTTATGTGCATACAATTATTTATCTTCTACAACAAAAATGATATCACTGTATTTAGACTAATTGAAAAATCCTCTAAAATATTAATTAATAGATATATTATTGAAATCAGTCACAGAAATGTTTGGAGGTGGATCTGTATCAATAATAAAGTAATCCTTAAAATAATGAGATCCACAAGATCCACCAAAAATATAAATAAGATTACCAATAGCAGTCATACTATGACCAGCTCTAGCTTTATCAAATTATTCTTCATCTTAAAGTTCTATAATAGTCCATGCATTTTTAATAGGATCATAACATTACAAATCCCCAAAACATGTAGTTTATGGTCCACTCCCACCAAATAAGTATATCTTATTATCTATAGTAGTCATGCACATTCCTGCTCTTGCACTAGGAGATTAAATTGGTTTTAGTTCACTCCATCTATTAGTTGTTATATCATAACAATGTAAATCATTTAATCTTTTTGAACCATCCCAACCTCCAAAAATATACAATTTATTTTGCCATACTGCTGAACTATGATTAGCTCTTGGTGGAGGTCTCTAATTTTCTGCTGTCTATACTAATTTCCACATATTGGTTTTTGTATTGAAACTATGTAAATCATTCAAATAATCCTTCCCATCCCCTCCTCTGAAGATGAATATTAATTAACCAATTAAATCTGCACTATGCATATTACATGGACCTGGAACCTTTAATATATTTTTAAATCATACTTCTCCCATTGTATTAACAAGTGTCCAAAATAAACAATCCAAATCTAATACATAAACATCTCTACTAGCATAAGTTCCACTTCCCAACCATCCACCAATTACATACATCTTATTATCTACAACTGTAGCAGTATGTCCATTTCTACTCTCTGGAATTCTACCATTAGCTTTACATTTTGTCCAATTTCCATCCTTATATATATGAATGTCGTTGTGATTTTTTTTAGAATCATACCCTCCAAATATAAAGATCTATTTCTTATAATGAATAGATGTATGATTTTTTATTGCAGGACATTAATTTACATTATTTCGAATTACTTTTACTGCTTGTCTTTCATATGAACACCAATTAGGTGACTAACCATTACCATCATTCTAAAACATTTATTTATAAATATAATATATAAATTATAAATTATAAACAAAAATATTCATTGTTTTTTTATTTATTTAGACTTACTTTTTATATCTCCACTTGATTTATCTCCACCTTTCTTATTTTTAATATCTCCTTATCTATTAACTCCACTCTCCTGTAAATTCTTAAAAAAAGTACTAGTCTTATCAAATTTAACACTTTCCTTATTTTTTTATTACTTAATGAAACTCATCTATTTCTTCCCTTATTGATGTTGATTATACATAAACTTAGTCTCACCTCTACTTTCCAATTTCTTAACTAACCCACTTCTTCTTTTCTCTCTCTCCTTATTTCTCTTTCTCTATTTAGCCATTCTTCTACCCTTCTTATTCAATGAATGATCTGCCTCTTCCTTAGATAAAAAACCTGCCTTCTTGATCTTCTCCACATCCTCTTACTATTCTCCTCTTGCTGTTATTGGAACTTTCTCCTCTCTCTAAACCACATTATTATCCAACACTTAAACTTCTGCTTATTTCACAAATCCTCTTGGTTCAAAGTTTAAATTAGTTAATGAATCCAATTTATAACATAAGTCTCTAAATTATTCAAATAACTCTTGTTTTAATTTCTATTCACTAGTATTTGTTGGTAATCCTAATGCTTGTTTAAATTGTCTTTCATATAATTCAGCTAATCCAAACTGCGACTTATTTGTATCAACTTAATCAACTGGTTTCTCAAGAGAATTCAAATTAATTTACACTTTCTATCTATCATCAAACAATTCATCTTAAACTCTCTTTCTATAATTTAATTAATAAACTTATATACTTGATCATTTCTATCAATTTATTTAATTATTCTGGAGTTGTTTCTTCTAATACTTTTCTATTCACATCAAAATCTAAATCCTATTCAATCAAAGAATTTAATGGTCTCTATCTAGCTTACACTTCACCTACAAATTGCCAATCTTTTTTTTTCAATCTTTGTTCTTCTAAGTTTTTTATTTCTTCATCTTCTTCCTCAATAACATTATTTACTTATTCTTCTTCTTAATCTTATGCTTATTCTAATTCTTCTTCTCTCATATCATCAAATACTGAATCCTCTCTATCATATTATCTATATAATTTATTACCCTTCATTATTATTTTCATCATTTTCTTCTTCATTTTCTTCTTCATCTACATCATCCTCATCAATCTCTTCATCATCTAAATCAATTTTACCCATCTTTCCATCATCATAATCTTGCATGTATTTCTCAAATTCATCAAAATCATCCTTTTATTTTTACTTTTTCTCAAATCTAAAATTTCCTCCATCCTCATCAAATTCTTATTCCATCTCTTGATGTTCATCCTCTTACTCATTCACATCCTCTTCATTGACCTCCTATTACTCATCGTCTCCTTCCCCATCTTCATCTGATTATTATTCTAATTATTCCTATTCTTCAGTCTAACCTTCTTCCTCTTACTCTTCTACTACTTGACCTGCTATTTTTGTTGCTCTTTCCTCAATTTATTTTAACTTTTTAAGACTCTTTTGATTTAGAATTTCAATTGCCCTCTAGATTTAAGTCCACATTTATTCTTCATCATTTAAAAGTAACAAAGGCTAATTCAAGGATTCATCCATCAATTATTTGATTAAAGGCATAGCATCAAAGTCTTTTCTTAAGATCAATCCAATCTACTACTTTAACTTCAGACCTTACATTAAATTATAAAATTAAATTATATATATATTTTGAAAAACAATTATATTTTAACAAATAATTATATTTTCTATTGATAAGAAGCAATATCAAATGTAAGATGACTAAATTGAATAATAATAAATAAATCATCCCTTATCCAGTAAGAGTGTACAAAGTTTATATTTAATTAATTCCTTTAAAATCAATTAATATCTAGTTAATTTAGTATAATAAAATAATCTAATAAATAGGCTTTTAATATTTCTACTAAAAAACCAAAATTTTAGCAATAATTTTTGATTCATTATAATATAAAAAGTAATATTTTCAAAAAGGGATACTTATAAATTCCGTATTGACCTTAGCTTTGAATGGTGCATAAATGTAAATTATTAATATCTTATTTAGGTTTTAGTTATGAGAAGAAATAAATTAAAGATATTTGCATTATTTCAAAACAATAACAACAGTTATTCTGTAAAAAGTTTATAATGTTAAGCACAAAAAGTATACATATATGTTTTGGTCAGCCAAAATAGATATAAAATCGAATATAATTTCCTAGTTTTAGACAAAATCATAATAATTAACAACAATTCAAAGTAAGGAGAATGGATTGAATTACATGTTCTCATACTTTTTATAAGTTTAAGTCAATAAAAATTGAAGTAAATTATTTTATCTTTATTGATATATATAAATAAATTTAGTAAATTATATAAATAATTTCTATTATTTTCATTCTCCCTATTAGATCTTGATACTTTGGGGAAATTATAATAATATATATATAAAGAAGAAGTATTGATCCTATTTAAATTTATATCAAATACATAATTGATATGTTTAAATTATTAGTAAAAATATCTGAAAAAAAAGTCAAAATTCTTTAAGGTTTTTAAGTTATGACAAGTAATTATAAAAATTAATGAGAATAAAATTGTAATGATATAATTTTGTCATAGTCTTTTTTTCCCACAAGAACCACAGTACTTATGGTTATTAGCGAATTTGTTTCCACAATTAGTACAGAATATACTTCTCTGAAATTTATTACCACTGCTCATACGAAAACATAGTTGAATATGCTTTTCAGCTGCTTTTTATTCAAATGTTTTCTGACAAGATGGACATTTAACAATTGGTACAGAACGAGAGAGTAAGTTTTCAGGGCGTTATTTAATTTTAGGTAAGAATGTAGGTTAACTTGATGAGAGTTCTTAAAGTAAAGTTTCATCTGCTTCTTCAACTTCATTTATAGATGCAATAACTTTATATTTGTCTAACGCTTTTGGTCTAGCAGGACATTTTAGAATATGAATTTGAGGATTTCTCAATTTCTTATGACAATAAGGACAAGGTTGAATAGTTGGTTATGTAAAAGGTAATTATGTTTTTTGTTTATTAGATTTTTTGAGAAAAGGATGATCAGCAGAACAACTACGTAAATGTAGAGCCAATTTACCTTGAAAGAATTGGCGCTTACAAAATTTACATTATTCTTTTGGTATAAACTCTATTTAAGCATCTAAAGGTGTAAATGGTCTTTCAATCTATTCATCTAATTATTCTTTATCAAAGGAATTGTTAAGTGCTTAGATAGTTGATTTTGATATGGCCTCTTCATTAAAGAACTCATTGTCTTTGATATCCATAGGCAATGATAATTTGTTCATGTAAATTATAAATATATAAATATGCTTATAAGAAGATTAAGCAATGCTTTACTAAAGTATAGATTTTCCAAAGAAGTAACAGATACATAGTAAGTTTAAAGAGTGAGGGCACCATTTGGGTTTACATAAGTCAATTGTTTGGTGCTTCATCCAATCTTTTACCCAAATAAAGGTCCTGAATTAGAATTGTATTTGGCAGAGGAAGCAGTTGGATTATCAAAATCTTTAAATTGGACATTAGAGAAAGGACCATTTTGGAAGGAGGAATACACATAGAATATACGTATAAGTTAGGGAAGGAATCCAATATAAGTAAAGGTTGAGAATAAGGAAGATGAGTTGAATGCAGAAGGATGGGAGCTTTCTGGTAAAGCACATTTAAAAAATGGAGAATATGTTTATCTTCCATTTTTATCAGGAACATATGATGATGGTTAATTATTAGTAGATTTATCATCAGATAGTGATGATGATTTGGGACATGAATGGAGAAATAAAATTATAAGGAGTTCTATTGCCAAATCATCTTTAGTTAAAGTAAAAAGAATTCATTCATCTACTTTTTTTACTAAAGGTAAAGTAGCTATGTTGGGTGAACATATATATGATAAGAAAATAAATGCAGTTTTTATTAATCATGAGTTATCTCCATTATAAACTAGAAATTTGGAGAAAGTATGGACATAATATGCAAAAGGAGAAATAGCCACTTTTAGAAGAAGTGAAAATCCTGATGATAGTGATATAGCTACTGATGCAGAAACAGATATTGAATATGAGGATGCATATGTAAAAGTGTTTGATCGATTTACAATGATTCTATAAATATTTGCAAAAAGATCTACATAAGGAGTTGCAAGATAATAAATAGAATTATCATTTCTCAAATTTGCAAAAACTAAATTAGTAAGAAGTGGTAGTGCTTTTGCATCTTTATCTTCTATATTTTTGGGAGATTTGATGATGGCAAAGGAAGTATATTTAGAGGTTGTGTCTGCAAAATAGAGAAGAGCATTGGGAAAGATGAGTGGTTCAGGAGAAAGTGAAATTTAGATTTAAAGGAGAAAAATAGATGAAAGAATAGCAAAAGTACGTAGATAGATTGAAGAGGAAGCTTATTAAAGAAGTAAATTAAAATAAAAGAAATTAATACATACTGTTCCTAGAATTGCATTAATTGGATATACTAATGCTGGAAAATCATAATTATTAAATTGTATATTACAAAAAGAAGTTGTTGAAAGTAAAGATCTTTTATTCCAAACATTAAGTACTACTTCTAAATAAATTCGATTGGCATCTGGTTAGAAGGCAATAATGTTAGATACTATAGGATTTATAACAGATCTACCACATGATTTAGTAGAATCATTTAAATGTACTTTAGAAGAAGTAGCTGATGCTGATATTGTATTACATGTAAGAGATATTTCTCATCCTTGTTCAGAATAATAAAAATAAGTAGTACTAGAAGTACTATAATAATTAGGATTCAATGAAGAATTTTATAGTAGAAAAATGGTATAATTTAAATTTTATAATAGATTGAAGTTTGGAATAAGATCGATTTAATGAATGATACTATTGATATAAATTAGATTTAGTAATAAAATTATCCTATTGTTCCTGTAAGTGCTTTATTGAATACTAATATTAAATAATTGTTATCGATCATGGAAGATAAATCTAATTTAATTATGAACAAAAAACCATATAAATTGAGATATAATATTGATGATCATTAATAAAGATTAAAATGGCTGTTTGATAATGGAAATATATCAGGAATTCAAAAAGAAATCCATATTAGTCCTAATAAGAAAGGAGATCCTACATAAATAGAATTTGAAGTTATTTTAGATGAAATCACTTACAATAGATATATTGCTACATTCACTCCTGAATTAAGAGTAAAAAAAAATAAGGGAATGCCTCCTCCTAATTGGTGATAAATTTGTTTATAATATATATATATATATAATGGGTACATCAATCATTTCCTATTGTAGCCAAAATTTTGATGATTTCATCAATGGCTAAATCATTCATCTATTAAATTTTGATTTTTTTTGTTTTAATTTCTAATGCATTATCAAATGGAGTATTTCCCCATCTATCTCTATCGCTAAAGTCGAATTTAGCTTTAAATCTCAAGAATTTGATGATTTTTGTATTCTATGACATAACTGCCATATGAGCTATGTTACGATTATCTATATTAACAAAATGATTAAGATTTTTGATTCCTCCATGAAATATGAGTTCTAACATCTATAAATCTCCATTTAAACCAGAAGATAAAAGTAAATCTACCAATATATGATGAGGTGCTGATATTATTCCTCCATTTTAATAAAAGTATAATAACATTTCCTTATCTCTACTAATCAATACTTCATACATTGGAGAATAACCTAAATAATCAATTGGATTTATTTCAACATGAACTTCTTCTACTAAATATTTAATTATTTCAATTTATTTATTTGCAGCAGCTAAATGAAGTATAGTTCTTCCATCAAAATCAGGAATACTTAGATCTCCTTCATTCTTTCTTAAATCTTTAATTAATTCTAATTATCCTGTTGTAGCAAGAAAACATCCTAAATTTGGTATGATGTATTTATTCATAATATCCATATTTTGACTAATTTATTCATCTCCTGTTGTTTTTTATAGAGTCTCCAATATTGTTTAAATGAAATGTTGTTTTTACACTTCAAATTTCTCAAATTATCTGACTGATTCAGTTTCACCTTATAGATTTTATGGAAATTTTTGATAGATTTCTTAATTGCTATATCCTTTACCTAATAAATAAGCTATTTTTGCTTAAGCACTTTCTGGAGTAGTATCATATTAAACAAGAATACCATTAACAACTTTTCTAAAATTCATAATTGGTTAACCCTTGATACATTAAGATATTTGGATTAATACTATACCCAATTATTATTGAGCATGTAATAATACATTATACAATTCTTAACTATGAGGCATTTCACCAAAATGATAACATTCTAATATACAACATCTCAAATTTGGAGTATTCAAAATATGTTTAATGTGTTCAACACTTGTATATGGTGTAATCTTTATTATAATAACATCAGTCACAAAAGGAGGAGCTAATTCTAAGGTACTTTCATCATTTGTAAACATTTGTTCTCCTCTTCTTAATACTAATTACCAATTGATATCAATGTTAATTCCAAATTCTACTAAATGTGGAAAGTTTGGACTTTCAATACAATCCAAAGAATCACATTTTAATTGTCTACATCTATTAGCTCTATAAGCTTTATGATCCATAACAATTAAAACTTCAGGAATTAAGAAATGTCCAGCTAAAATTAATGAGTCTAAGATATTTTAAAATGCATCATTTCTCATAAAGGATAATGGTAAAAGAGATCCAGTAATCACTACAGTTTTTTATAGATTTTCCAACATAAATGATAAGTTTGTCCCAAGATAAGTCATTGTTGCAATTCCACTCAAAATAACAAAAGCACTATATTTTTCATAATTCTCTTTTATTATTTCTGCTATATGTCTAATATCAGCATAAGACTATATTAATAATATAATCATACTGTTTATCTTGAATTAGTAATTTGTTCCAATTCCATTACTTTATAGACTGTTCTTCTTCCAAATTCAGATAATGGAGTAGACAGACATCCATCTTGATTATGGTACTTTATAATATTATTTAATTAATTACTTAAGTGTATTCAAGATCACAAAGAAATGAAATACTTCTCAATCTTTATTCTAATCTTCCTTTGACTATTTTCATATGAGATTCATTCACTTCACCTTCAGCTGCTGCAGCTCCTGATGCATATAATAAAAGCACTTTTCTATCATTCAAAGCTTATAAATTTTATTGACCACCTTCATTATTTATTATTGATGAGATCATTGAATCATAATTTGTA